CTCCCCGTCTCTCTCTCTCTCTCTCTCTCTCTATCTCTCGCGCCCGCTCTCTCTCTCTCTCTCTCGCTCTTTTTTATCTCTCTCGTTTATTATATATATTATATATATACATCTATTACTTAGTATACAGATAATAGGGCCTACTCACCATAGCATAATTGGCTAATAAATGCCTAATATAATATGTAATTTATATACATGCATACGCTATTGTGTAGAGTGTGTAGTCGGCACATGGCCAGAGCGGTGTGGAGCACGCGTCTTGCCTCGGTTATTAGATATATATGAAAGAGTCTCCATCCCCCAGCGCGTATCGCACTTGCTTAACCTAATTCAAACAGTTGCGGCAGTGGTTACAACACGCTACACCAGCATATACCGCCGTGTCCCTCCGAGCCATTGAACACAGCAAAACTTTCGCTCACCCATATTCTCAACTTAAGTGATGATATTTATGGCACCCCAGGCGCGTTAAAACCAACATTGCTAACTATATCATATAGGCCGCCTAAAGGTCCTAAAAAACCCGCCCACGATTGCGTGTTAGACGAAAACAAAGGGACGATTATGTGCGAGATCTCTGATTCGTCACAACCATAATTACAATGATTACTGTCAGTATCGATGCCCCGCAGCTCGGATCGCGAATTAAAGTAAAATTTAAGTCAAATTATTCTCGTTGCTACCGTCACGCGGCGCGCGACAGCGGCCCGGCCGCGTCTGGATTGATGACGATAGGACTCGGGGAGATAACTACTATAACTAGCATTAATAGCAGAGCTAGAATAATAAAACTTTTATTATTTTAAATGTATTTTATATGTTAGTAATTTAATAAACTGTTAATAATAAGTGTTTTATTATCCTACTCTTTATAATACCCAATAGAATAATTACTAGGTTAGAGAGTACGAGCGTATTTATTGTCTCTATGTATTCCATAGCCGTTCCGATGCCACACACGCTCTCTGCACCCCACACTCCCCATTCTCTCCCACCCCCCCCATCCCCTTCCCTCCCCCCCCCACTCACCCTTCCGTCACGCTACCACCTCCCCCACCCGTTCACGCTACCACACACGCACGCGGCCGCATTATATACATCACGACAATTGCTAAACACGCCCGCCGTGCCGACACCACCACCGCCCGCCGTCTCGTCACGCTCGCGCCAATTAACGCGAGAAGACGACGGCGACGTCGCTTAGAAATGATTCGCGTAATCGCCAATATGTGACTACACTTCCCGACAAAAAATTGCTCACCCCATGGATAACGCGTTAGAAACGCGCTTTGCGAGTGAGCGCGGCCAAGAGCGACGCATAGACAAAGGCGCGGCGGAGGGAGGGGGAGGGAGGGGAGGGCGGAGCGGGAAAGAAGGGAGGGCGGCTGCTGACGCCATTCCACTTTTAAACGATCATAATATGAAGCGTCGACGAAATGTGTCGGATGTCAAACTCAGGCGTTTCGTTTACGGAAACGCGGCCGGCGTCAGCCGTCTCTCTCTCTATCTCTCTCTCTCTCTCTTTCTCTCTCTTTCTCTCTCCTCTTTCTCTCTCTCTCTCTCTCTCTTATCTCTCTTTCGTCTCTCCTCTCTCTCTCTCTCTCTCTCTATCTCTCAGCTCTTATTCTCTCTCGTCTCTCTCTCTCTCGTCTCTTTCTCTCTCTCTCTCTCCTCCTCTCTCTCTCTCGCTCCTCTCTCTCGCTCTCTCTCTCTCTCTCTCCCTCTCGTTCTTCTATCTCTCGCTCTCTCTCTCGCCGCTACTCTCTCTCTCTACTCTAGTTCTCTCTCTCTCGCGCGCGCTCTCTCTCTTTTTTACATTTAGCTTCCTCTCGTTTCTATCTTCCCTCTCTCTCTCTCTTCTACTCTTCTCTCTTCTCTCTCTCCGAGAAAAAAAGTAGGGCGTTTTGACGAGCAGAGGCTCCCGCCGGTTTCTGTCATCATCACGTACTCTCTCTCTCTCTCTCTCTCTCTCTCTCTCTCTCTCTCTCTCTCTCTCTCTCTCTCTCTCTCTCTCTCTCTCTCTCTCTCTCTCTCTCTCTCTCTCTCTCTCTCTCGCTCTCGCTCTCGCTCTCGCTCTCTCTCGCTCTCTCTCGCTCTCTATCTTTCTCTCACTCTTTCTCTTTCTCTCACTCTCTCTCACACATACACGCTCCCTCTTTCTCTCTCTTTCTTACTCTATCGCTCTCACTCTCTTTTACCGCCCCCCTCCCTTCTCTCTCTCTATCTTTCTTTTTCTCTTTCTCGCTCTCACCCACTCACTCTCTCTCACATACACTCTCTCGCCCCCCTCTTTCGCTCCCTTTCTCTCTCTCTCGCTCCCTCTCTCCAGCTCCCTGTAGATATAGAACTACATTGATTGCGAGATCACCAATCCCCTCTCCCCCTCCCGCATGTATAGTAGGTGCGTGCGATAACATCCCAATTACCTCCGACATTCGTCTGTCACGTAAATCCGGCGCAATGAGAATTCGCTCTCTGTCGACTCTCCGTGAGAAAGATTACATTACCGACCGTCTCATTCCATTCACGCTCGCCGCCGCCGACGACGATGACGACGACGACTGACGTTAAACTAAGCTAACTTTACGTCACCGCACGACAAATGTCGCTGTCTTCTGTATGGAGTATAGAGACTGCCTTTTATATAAGCGCGTGTGGAGGTTCTTTACATAAACGAGTCTAGCTAGGCCCGCCTTTCATGTGAGCACAGGCGCCTTTCTGTATGCTCGGCCCATTTGTACGAAGGCCATTTTCATCTATTCTGTCCGTTATATAAAGCGCATCTTATCTGGGTGGAAGCAGCGAAAAGCTACGGCTGCCGGTGGGGGAGGTCGCATGTGACCTCTGACCCGGATGTGGGCAGAAGGTTGCAGACGAGTTCCGGGTTAGCGGAGGGCAACGGGTGTTGTGCCAGGGGGTCTCAAGCTTGAACGTAACATTATACACATATATTTTTTTTTTTTATTTATTTATTTATATTTATTTATTTATTTGTTTGTTTGTTTAATGGTAGCACGTTGTAGCTTTACAAGCTCCCCGGCATTATATACGGTTACCACTGTTTAATGTTTTTTGGGAAAACATACAAACAGATGGTGAATGCCAACTATAAGTGATCACCTCTTAAATGCCTGGGAGAAAGAGAAATCCGTGTGAGAATATTCACCTGATGAAGAGATGACCTGATGAAGAGATGAAGAGATAGTTTCTTCTATCTCTTGCCGGGACACCGCCCACGGCAGCAGCAGCACCAGCGCCCCCCCCCCGGCTGTTATCTTATCTCTACACGCGATTATTAATGACTATGTCCTCGTCTGTAACTCGTGCTATTCAATTATACTCTTATATAAATATACCCTCTCCCCCTCTGGCGTGTTTGTATTCGCTGTGTGGATTGTGAATTGTTGCGTATTGTTGGCCCGTTGGTCGTAAGCCGCGAAATTCGACGCCGATTTAGCAATGAAAACTTTTTCGAAAAAATGGCCGCACTGATTTCTAACGTATGTATATCGCCACCGTCACCATCATCATCATCTCATTTATCATGTCTGTATTATCTGGCAGCCGTGACTGCGCTTATGAATGCGTTTTCATTTAGTATCGCCAAGGGGTGCTTCCTCTGTTTGGAGCAATATCAGAGAGAATAAGACCCGTGGGCTTAGTGCTTTGTACTCTCCGGGAATATTAATTGAAGTATCAGTGCTGCCTGTAAAACTCTTTTTCGTTCGTTTTGACAACACCCCCTGGCATCGCTGCAATCATGCGCGTGCTAGATTTATTTCTTTTAGCGCTATGAGATACAAACAGTGTAGACCTATACATACAACTACAACGGTAAAATAATTTCATGTGCCAAGAGAGAAGGGAGGCAACGCGAGTTTTGTGTGTCTGCTTCCCTAAGGCGTTACGTGTGTGTCTGGAATTCAACACATGCGGTTTTTATTTAGAGCAGGCGTGAAAGAGTTACCCAGGGGGCGTTGGTAGGATGCTGCATGACCGGTTACCGGGTTTATCGATGCCATCCGACCGTAGCTGAACATTACGCAAGTTTTTACCTGTAGCCATCTATACGGGTTATTTGTGCATACGTGAAATGCGTTCATCCATTCGTTGTCACGGGTTTGAAAATAGGGAGAGATTTCAAACGGGCACATATGGGCGTCTGACTTGTAGTTCTTCAAAAGTGGAAGGCACTTAACGATTCCAATTAATTTATATACACATATATATATATAGATATAGATATATATAGATATATAGAGGTATGGAGGTACGTATGGGTGTATACTTTGAAATATATAGCGATTAACAGATTCATTATAGGGGTAGGCTGACTGGATGACTTTTCGCTGTACCCCTATAAACTTGATGATGATATGCATGTGTTATCTGCATATTTTGTTAAACTAGTTGAGGCGAATAATGAATTTTAAATTTTGTTTGTTAGACTTACGCTGCAGGTGGTGGGTTTATCATGGAGAGGAGGCAGCAGCAGGCGGGAACAGCGATATCGGATGCACAGGACGGATGTTCTAATTTCTTCCGACATTGCGTTTGCATTGTCATACACGGTGTACGTCCTAGACGTATGATGTAGTCCTTAATTAATAGGCCGTGATGCAGCTGCTGCTCCCGCCTGCTGCTGCCTCCTCTCCATGATAAACCCCTCCCCCCGCCTGCAGCGTAAGTCTAACAAACATAATTAAAAATTCATTATTCTGCCTGCGTATATAGCACTGCAGCCGTAGCGCCGTCTGAAGCAACGACTGCAACATGCGTAGACGGTTTCTTTCAAAAAGAAAATGCGAATAAATTAAGAGTTAAGAAAATTATAGGAGCATGTTGTTTAAAACAAACACATTTTACCGTTAACCGTGTATGCTGTGTAGAATAAGTAAATTGAGTAACAATTAGTAACTGAGCCGGCCGATAGAGGGCAGCGCATTATTGAAATGGTGGCTTACGTGAATTGGCTGGTGTTTTCCATTCTGCTACAGCTTTTGCAGTTTTCATACGAAAACGAAGATTACATATCACCAATAAAAACAACTGTGGAGGGAAAAGTTCCATCTCTTAAAGAATACACGGATGATTGGGCCTTAAATACCATCATTCATGTAGATGGAGGCCAGTATATCGGATTTGTACGGTGAGCATCCTTCTCAGTTTCACTCACTTGAGTTAGGCCCTACTCTGTTGTTACGCTCGCATTAATTGTAAATCGTAATTTACCATTTCACGCGCATCGTTCAGCTGAATAGCGTTTAATAAGCGAGATGTTAAGTTCCTCTGATAACACAATATTGACAATAATGTTTCAGTTGTGGCGATGAGAAATGTTCATTTTATTGCAATTCGCAATCGATAAATCAATCGATCAGATCATCGTATTCGTAATCAGATATCATCAATAATGTATCGGTTCAGTTGTCAGCAGCGAGCCGAATGAACTATTTCCATCCATACTGCAGGAACGATGGCAGCTTCGCTGTTCACAACGTCCCGCCCGGATCGTACGTCTTCCAAGCCGTAAACCCGGACTTCGACTTTGAGCCGGTAAGGGTCGACGTGAACAGCAAGGGGAAGATTCGCGTGCGCAAGGTCAACTACATCCAGAGCTCGCAGGTCGAGGTCGTTCCGCATCCGATCAAGTTCCGCCTGAGGGGTCCCATCAATTACTTCCAGAAGAGAGAGACTTGGAGAATCACGGACATGCTGTTGAGCCCCATGGTAGGGTAGCCGCATCATTGCAGCGACGTGTAACTTTGTAACCTTGTGAATATTTGTCTTCAAAGTCCAAGGGACTATAACGAAGACGAAAAAGAGACAAAAAGGCAGATCAGTGTAGCGACGTTTGTAAAATGTAGTTTCTTGTAGCGATGTGCATGTGGGTTAAAAATGGATATGTATGTGGGAGATAGGGTTGCAATAGTGTAGTGGTAGCAGTAACAGTGCCATGCTGCTGGAATAGTTTTGCATGTTAGAAATGCTGATTAATGCAGTCTTTCCTAGCAGCTGCGGACTACATTCTGTGCTTGCCTTGACGTTTCTGAAATCTCTTTGGATTTTAATATTTGTTAACTTTTCTAATTTATGTGAATCTATTAGAATTTAGATTTTTCCAAACAACTTCTAAATTAGGTGATGACGATCGATAGACACGTAAAGTTAGTTATATGATGAGATTATAAAGGTGAGATCGCTGTTCGTTCCAGGTTCTTATGATGGTTTTACCGTTGGTCGTGATCGGAGTTCTACCTAAACTCATCAATACACAAGATCCAGAAACTCAGAAGGTGAGTGCATTTACGTGCACAGATTACACGAACACAGTTCAGTCCTGCTCCGCTATCTTAAGAACTACAACCACGCGATGTATGTATAGGTGTCATAAGACGGCAATCCGTTGGTAAGTCTCCACCTAGGTTTGCGTGCATACCTACGACAGTATGTGATGAAAGACTATTTTTGTATTGATTTATTTAGGTAATTATCCATATATACATACTCAGGGTACTGTCGCAATAGATTTTAAATTCATGAAATTAGATAACTACCAAAAATATATACACAAAAAGCAAGACTAGCACACATATTTACATTGTGGTCCTTGCTACATTACTGTTAATAATAATAACACTACCATCAATTAGCGAAATATACACGATGGACTGTTTGCTTTCAGGAATTGCAGAACCAGATGAGTAACATGCCAAAGTATGACATGCCGGATCTATCGGAGATGTTCACATCCCTCCTAGGCGGCTCAACGAAATCAACGGTCAAGTCAAAAGGAAAGAGACGGAAAGATTAGAAATAGATATTATTGTATGATTTATAGAATTGTTTGTATTTTTGGTGCAGGCGTTTACATTTGATGACAGATTAGCATGGATGATCCCGGACTCGATGAAAGAAATTTCTTCTAGCTAGCTGTCAGGCAGCATTACTTGTGCTGCAAATATAGCTCCTCTAACCCCCCCTCCAACCCCCACCCCAATCCCTACTCCCACCCCAATCCCTACTCCAACCCCCACCCCAATCCTTACTCCAACTCCCCACCCCAACCCCATATGCTTGTCAGGTTTGTACCAAAAAATATTGTCGAGAAAGAATTGCTTAGGGAATTGAACTCGAATGAAGAATGAATGTAGGGCAAGAATGATAGAATTTTACCTCCAATATGAGGGGCTGTATTAATAAGGATAGAATAAGTTGGCACTATTGCCAAATTACAGAGAATGGAAAACACCAGTATTTTGATGTGCCCATGTTTTTTTATGACGGGGATCATTTGTTGCCATGTTCTGTTGACGTTTGCTGAAACAGCTTTGTGCAAATCCTCATCTATCTACTAGTCTGTGAGTGTCGGTCATTAATGCATGATGTTTTCGAAAGATTTGAAGCAGATATTATTCTATAATTTATAGAATCGTTTGTATTTTCTGGTTCAGGTGTTTACACTTGATGACAAATTAGCGAAGATGATCTCTGACCCAATTAAGTATTCTTTCTAGATATCAATCGGTCAGCATTACCTGTGCCGTGAATTTATCTCTAGTCCCCCCTCCCACCGTGTGCTAGGTTGTTTATATGCGATTTTTTCTTCATCATCAGCGTATTGTCAGGGAGAAACTATGTATGCCTGTGTATTGTATGTATTTAATATTTATTTCTCATCTCTTGTTACGCTGTTAACCTTAAAAGATTATATTCAAAGGTAGACAGTTGTTTTTTTACATTTTGCACGCGCAAGCTGCTGTCAATTCTGAACTGTATATGTAGTAATGTACTTTTCTGTGTTTTTATTATAATAGATGTTTACATTATTTATAGTTGTGTAATTTATTATTTTACAGTATCCATCGGTCGCATATTTGCAAATGTACTCATTTGTTCAACTCTAAATTAATGTTCTTTGCATTATGTATGTTGACTTGTGCATATGTTTTTTACATGTATGTGTATTACACTGTTTCAATGTGTATTTCAGAGATATATAAGATTCCTCATACTGTCATAGAAAAGGATTTTGAATGGTTTAAATTTTCTCTCGTATGGAATGTTTTTTAGAACTGCAGTATTGGCAACGTCTGCATGTAAAGACAGATATTACTTGTTTTTATGACAGTAAACAGCATCATATATGTGACCCGTGCTCGGACTTTTAGGCGCGAGTCGTTGGCTATTGTTTTGAGTATAGGCAATTTTCCATAAAAATCGATTTTTAGTCAGAATTTCGTTTTTAACGTAAATAATATGTTATTTAATATCTCATATAATTTATCAAAAAAGCAGACAGGTCAGAATCATCTTTAGATGTAAAAACTGACTGTCATCTCAGCCAGTTCTGCTGTACTGCTTTTAGTGCGCAGCGAGGTTTGAGGACTTCGTTCCGGGTTCTTTTTTTTACTTTATTTTAAACACAATTTTCTCGTAATTAAGGTTTTATCGGTTCACGAATTCAGGAAATCATATCTTCGGTTCTGTTTGGGGTAGAGAGTTACTTTATGGCTTGTTTGAAAGCTGAGTCTAAGGAATCAGTTTATGGAATAATCTCAACATCCAGAAATTGACCCCTGAGCCTAAAAATCCCAGCACGGGTCACATTGTATTCATGTGAAGTGGCCTGCTTACTAAAGATATGGCATTGGTAATTTATCTAGTCCTTCTTGCAACATATGTTGAGATCTGCATGCAAACTGCAGTCTTCAGTTAAGCATCGATCCATAGCTTGTTTTGTAAACTGTGTGATCATAAGCAGTAGCGTATTTTGTCATACATTGTACTGCTCTAGTATTTATTAATGGAAAATATAGATGATGTTACGTATAAAAGAATGCATTTCTGATTCGGGTTTTTTTTAATAATCAACATATTGCTCTATTTCAGTTGGATCACAGATGTTTATTGTTCTGAAATGTTTAAATTTTGACATTTTTGACATCTCATAAATTATACATCAGCTTTAGATGAATTTATCACTAACCATTATATGATGGTGACATACAAACGCCCAAAACTCATTTCTCCATCTAATCGTTCTAACTCTAGTTCTTTCAACTAATGTGTTCAATAAACAAGGAATAAAAATACCTAACTCTGGACGGAATGGATTTAGTGAGATTAAGTTGATACGTATCACAAATATTATACACACGAGTGAAACAAATACAGCGAGTATTAGAAGCAGAAATTTGCTGAACCATCATCAACACTGAATTGCTACCATCAGTAAGTTGTGCAAAAGAGATTCAGACTCGCAAACACTGATGCATGTGAGGTTGGAATAATTAGTGAATATGGTTAATTATTAATTAACTTACTTTCTAAAGCCACTCAATATCTCGTAAGGTTAAAAATTTACAAGCAGCTCATTGTGGGATATGAAACAAGCAGCCAAGATTCAACGAGCAAGAAGTAGAAGTTATTTCAAGTGGACATTACATATACTAAAACAATAAGACGGATTTTTCTAGACATTCTAGACACGTAAGTACATTTTTATGTACTCCTGAAATAATCCATTGCTGTTCAACATATTGCTCTGATGTGTCTCGCCATCTTATTCGAGATTCGTCTAAACAGCTTGTGAGTCATAAACCACACGAAATATCATAGTGGTAAACACATGGCATAGCTAAGTCATGGACACACTTTGTATACTTGGAACGATTACGAGAGCTCGTCTCATCACAGCAGCCGATTATAGAATCTCTGTTTATAGATCTCCATTCTGTCTGTAGAATCTAGATTGTAGCCACCTCTAACGTTAAAAGCAACACTTCGGCTACTAACTCCATATCAACAAATCCACAATGGCTTTTAATTCGGGAGATCAAGCTTTATGGACGGCACCCTGTAGAGAGGGGGGTGACTGTAGAGAGAGAGGTTTCAGTCTTCTCCATCCGGGTGAAGATATTTCTGTAGCGACTCTGTCCGCTTGATGTCGGATGCGTTGACCTTCTGCGAACACATCGGACACGTTGTTTCCGACTCCAGCAACCTAAAGAGTGAAGAGAAAAGCCACAACTTATCACTGCAGCAGCATTTTACAGGCAGCAGTTTTATATTTTATATTTATTTTATACTTTTTGTGGAGCTGCAGATTAAATAGCAGTGGTATGTCCGTTGAATTGATACCCTGATACTGATGATAACATGTAGGTCCGTAGGAAATACTTAATGAAAATGTTTTCCTTCGAACTGTACGTTGAATTACTGAAACGTTGACTCGGATTACTGCAAGAAATTAACTTTTGATATTTATATTACATCATTATTTATACATTATATTATCATTTATTTTATATTATAATTAATCATTAATTTCTTAATTCTCCGATCCGTTAATTCATAGTACTGCAAGAAATCATCTTATTATTTACATTACATCATTATTTGTATTTTATATTATTGATTTATTTTATACCATAATCCTCGATCTTAAAGCCGCACAATGCGCATCCAAACGCTAATTTCTCCAGTACTAGACTAGCAAATACTTCGTGTCATGCATAATCATACTACCTTATGGCAAAATAAACTCTAGTTCCTCCCATTTCACTGCGCGTTGTCTTATAAAAGGTATTCTGAAAATA